ATATATATATATATATACATATATATATATATATAGTTAATTACTACTGGTAATTAGATGTTTCTTCCCCTGTGTCCATTAGACTACTCATGAGTAGTATACAGCTTTTACTTTACCGACAGACTTTCGTTTTTTGTGCATCCCACGTCGTCTTTATTCATGAAATTTATACTTTCTGCTGGCGTATTTACTGGATGTTTAATGCTGTGATTTCTAACTGTTTATTCAGAAGGTCGCGTTTTCTCATTGGCATAAAACTTTTCGGATCGCTTGTTCTGCCGGCTAGGTTCGAACCACAGACCACCCCCCAGCCGATACAGACGTTAACCCTACGCCACGTACACCTGACAACCGACTGTTCACTGCCTTTGTCAATACTGCCCTGATACGCATACCTTCGATCAACACCGTCTCTTTGTATCGCATTCCAACTTGCTAGCATTTACTACGTTTCACCCTAATCCATTATAATTTCCTTCTCTGTCATTTTATTCCGGAACTAAAGTTTATTGTAAGCCCTTTTTATACTGTACCGCAACCTATCCCCATTTGAATTTCACTGCTGCGCTACCGTTACCCTTAGCTGTCTGCCGGGTAGACCTTGTTCCTACAGTTGCTGTCACGAACTGTTACTGCTGCCCTGTAATTTGGTTGCTCACCTGGCTGTAAGTCACTTTTTATGCTTTATTATTACTGTATGATTTTAGAACCACGATTATTACCACTGTCGATACACATTACTACCATATTGGACTTCGTTCTGCTGCCCGTAGCCGTGTTCTGCCCATATCGTGCGTATACCTATCGAAACTAAGTTACCGAGGAATTTCAGTCCGCTAAGGCGCGACAGCATATATATATATATAGCATATGGTAGCTTTCAACACACTTACATCATTTAAGCACAAAAACGTGGCACTCAAATAATTTAACCGACTGAGATCTGATGAATCATAGGTAACTTCAGTTTATTTCCGACCATATCATTGTTCTGGTTACTTCACGCTTGTTATCAGTGCAAATCCCTATCCTCATTGGATTGCTGTTTGCAATAGAGCAAACTAGTTCTGACAGTTTTCGTTACCGTTCCAGTAATTTTTGAGTAAACAAAAGCATGCCAACGGACAGCTTTGTAAACCGTAATACGGATTAGTAAATATTTCACATAGTCAGAACTCATTTTTTGACAGGCTGACATTCTTCTGCGGTAAGTTGCACATCAATAGTGCGGTACCAGGTCCGCATCGGTACAAAATAAATTGTGCCAGTAGAATCCTGGGGATTCAACAACAGATCGTGGCGCCAATCTACTTTGAAAGGATGAAGAGAGTTATCGTGCTGTTATTATAGGACCATGGTTTGCATACGGTGTAATTAAGTATTTCTCGATACAACCAGGTAAGGCATTTCGACATCGAATTAAATCGGATTGTTTCGCTCCAGTTATCAACAGTGCGTGCACATAAAATCCACGATAGGAGATTAGTCGGGGCTCGATGCGCACTGTGCACTGATACTGACGATGAAGTCCAGTCAGATAGCGAGATGCCTTACGACGTATCTCATTTAACCAACCGTCAACCGGGACACCACAAGGTCCAGAGCGGAGAAATGCTGTGTAAGTTATAAGTCCATCTGGCTGAGTTTGAAAACCCATTTGATGAGATAGTCCACCAGAACAACCGGATCGAGTAATACGACTGCGGCTGGCAGAAGTACAACCGGAAGATGTGCGTCGTACCAAAGATTTGCAATGCACATTTGATGCTGAAGAACCTTCCGTGCGCAAATCTCCGCGTTCAGGCCGTCGACGTTGCTGTTGTATGGACATTCGTGTCATTGTTTGCTTCGTTTGTGACCGTTCTACAGAAGTGGATCTTGATGAGATTTCACTGGCATCTTCTGATCGTGGATCAGTGAAATGATAACAACTGTGCGATTTCCGGCGCTCTTGATGATGTGATAGCAACAGCCGACTCTGATGTCTACCTGGGGATTCGACTGACGTGGATCGGTCGTTCGATCGTACCAAGTGTTGCGAGGCTGATGAATAACGCATCGGAAATCTCTCAGGTTTCACACGTTGGACAGTATCCTCATAA